TAACCCAAAAATGCAGAAATTTCAGTTTCAAACTGGTCAAGGTATTAAATTTGCGACTCTACAACTTCATGTACGACTTTTTGTTTTATGTGATATCTATGGGAATTGAAACTACTCATGTATTACTATAGAAACATGTATATAGTAGATCATAATTCACTTAAATGCATTATTCGAAATTGGCCTAAAATTTGAAAAATTGCATAACATTCTGAAATTTTCATATTTCACATTTCATATGGCATATGTTGCATGTTCATAACTTTTTTCATACTCAACGAAATTCAGTGATTCCAAAGCCAAATGAAAGAAGACATGTAATACTATAAATATATACAATTTACATGGCATATAAAACACATTTATATATACAATTTACATGGCATAATTAAAACACATTTATATAGTCAAAAATTAGGCTCAAAGGATCAAAATTATCACTCTTTGTAGAAAAAAAAAAAAAAATCAATAATAGAAAGAACATGCAAGATTTTGCATCAATACATGGATAAAAACTTGAGGCTCTGATAACATTATTGATGAATTTAAAGACATTAATTCATAACTTGCGCAGAAATTTACTAAGCTTTCTTGTAGATAGTCAACGCTTGAAGCAAAATCTTCTCCTTCCTTGAATCAATGCTAGGTTAAGTGATTTACTAGAAAATCACTTGGATGACAACCCTATTAAGTGATTTTACTAGAAAATCACTTGGATTGACAACCCTATTTACTTGTTCTGTTTAATGTGTTTTTAAGAGGAGAGTTGTTTTTTCTTTTTTGTACTTTGTTGAACGGAATTGTTCGTTTTCCAAGAAAACGGCTACATTTTTATTTTTGTACGTTGATAACTTCCTGGACGTTATCCAGTACTTGGGGAGTTATTCTCAAAAGGAATAACTTCCTTATCCAATTCACATGGATACGGTTCGGGTCACTGTCATGGGTGCCCCGACCCGATCCAATTTCTAACACCTTTTAAACCGAGTCATCATGACTCTTTACATAACAATTTTCACTATCGCATACTAAAATATCTAAAATGTCCTCAATAGGTTCATGAGCCGGACTTTGCCTAGAATATACACACTGAGCATTTTAGACATTTTAACCTGTTATAGTGAAACTTGTGCTAGACCCAAGTTGGGCTAAACATATTTATCGAAAATTAAATTCTTCTTCTGTTTACAAATAATTGTTATATTTGTGGATTTTAAGAAATAATAATTTTTTTCCAAACCCTTTGCAAATGACAAACAAATGCTATACTTCCCAAAATCTCTCTCTTCTTGTCTACTGCTACCATTTTGTGTTCCCAATATCTCTTAATTTTGTGTTTAAATCTTGGAATTTAGTTTGGATATTTTAAATAAGGATAACAACAAATTAGACAAGCAAATAGTTTTCTTAAGGAACATGAAAAGTGTAAATGTGATAGTTATTTGTGGACGAAGAGGGAGCAACTATTATAAAATCATTTGATTCAGCTGATTTATGCAGTTGATATATATTTTGTACCCAATAACTAGCTTTTAGGTGTTTAGTAAGTTTTTTAATCAATAGTTGATAGTTGAAAGTTGATAGAAGTTGCAACCAGCTAGTGATTCCATTAATTGATTTTTGAAAATTTTTCATATCATATGGTAGCTAATCAACTACAAAAAAAAAACCTCAGCATTTAGCAACAAATTTCGTTGGTAATTACTGATAGATTAGCAACTAATTACCGATGAAATTTAATTCTAAAATTAAAAAAAGGTTATATAAATTTAGTGATTGATTACCAAGAAATTACCAATAGAGTTTACCGATGAATTTAAATTTTATCAGTAAAAAATCACCATGCATTCATATATTAGTTGACAATTTACTGACTGATTATCGATCAATTTTTATAAAAATTTTTAAGTTTTTAGCGGCACAAATAGGTAGTAAATGATGAAATTTAGCAGCATATTATCAACAGATTACTGACTAATTAGCGACAAAATTTTCTATTACTAATCTATTAGTATTTACTAATCAATTACCAATAAATTATTGATCAATTTCAAAAAATTTCAAAATTTTTACACAGAAGAAATAGGCGGTAAAAATAATATTTAGAGATAAAATTATATTGCTAAATGCCAAAATTTTATTTTTAAGTATTAATTTTTTATTTTTTCCTCTCTTTAATTCTCATTCATTTTTTTCTCCTTATCCTAGCTTTCTTCTCCTTTCTTTTTTCTTTCTTCTTCATGGTCATCTTCTTCTTTCTTCTCTTTTTTCTTTGTCTCTTGTTCTTCTTCTTTTTTCTTTCTTCTTCAATATTAGCTTGTTCTTTCTTTCTTTCTTTTTTTTTTTCTTTCTTTCTTCAACATCATTTTGTTCTTCTTTTTCTTTTTCTCTCTTTCTTTCTTGCGTTAATTATATCTTCAGTGTCTGAATTTTCAATTTTTTCTATCTTTGGTGTCTCAACAGAAATGACAATAATTTAGTGTCCGAATTTATAAAATTTTCAATTGGATGTAAATCAGAAAAATGATTCTGCACGTATGGCTTCATTTATTATGACGTGACAGCTTACTTAGCGAGAATAAGTTAAACTAATTGCCAAATAAGTTGTTGATGATATGGAAAGGATGGTAAATCCCATTATAACCTACATTTAATGCTTCCCCACATACCTCTTTCTCTTTTTTTTTTTTTTTTTTTTTTTTTTTTTTTTTTTTTTTTTCTTTTTTCTAACTCTAATATAATCAAAAAAACACTGTCATTGGGGACCTGAAGAAGAGAAAATGAAGGAATTTGCGTTTTTTTTTTTTTTTTTTTCTTTTTTCTAACTCTAAATATAATCAAACAAACACTGTCATTGGGGACCTAGAAGAAGAGAAAATGAAGGAATTGCGATCCTTGTCCCATCATCCTATGACCATTCAAATCTCCAATAATAATAATAATAATTGTTTCTTGGCTTCACTCCACAGCTTCGTGCAAAAGTATTTTTTTAAAAACAAACACCCTTTATTCCAAATCTCATATTCTCACTACTATATAAAAAAAAAATCATAACAAAAATCGAAATCCTATATAGAAACATATCATCTCTATCTTTTACACTATATTCAAACTTATCATCTCTATCTTCTACATTATATTCAAACTTATCATCTCTATCTATCTTTAACTTCAAAGCACATATACAGACGCAATATTATTTGTTGTTGCTGGTAGATGGTGAATATAATACTTCTCTCTCCTCGTTTAAACTCTACAACAGCAGCTATCACTCTTCTGTTTTAGTTTCTCCATTTAGTTCATTTAGCATATTCGCTTATTTCGACATTGGTAATAAAGTCTCTCTTGTAGCCTTCATGTAATTGATTGCTATCTTTTGATAATTCCCTAGCGTTAGAAAAAAGAGGAGATAGGTGGGAAACATTAAATGGAGGTTATAATGGGGATTTACCATGCTTTTCATGTCACAACGGCTTATTTGGCAATTAGTCGAGCTCCTTCTTGTCAAGTAAGCTGACACATCATAAAAATTGAGCATACAAGTGCAGAATCATTGTTCCAATTTGTCACGTCATTCGGACACACCCAATTATAAAATTATACAAATTCAAACACGCAATCATTATCGTTTTCTGTTGAGACACTAAATAGAAAAAACTAAAAGTTCAAACACTAATATATATCATAATATAAAAACATATGCCTTAATGGTTATTCAATATTTTAACAATGTTGCAACTAAAATTTTAACAAATACGAACAATGATCAACTAACCACTATTAGTTATCGGCCGCTAGCTATATTAACCATTATTGTAAATATACAACATTTTATTTTTTTTATTTTTTTTTAATTAACAGGTGTCAATTCAATATTTCAACCTATTCCAGATTCAAAATCATTTGGGTGACAATGCAAACTCAATCAAATTTAATGATTTTTAAGTGACAAACTTTAATGATTAAGAAGAAAGTATATGTATGAAATTTAATGACCATTAGTGAAATTACCTATTTGGCATGTATCTGCACCGAACATGAACCTGAAGTAGCGCTGGCATACATTAATGGATGTTTGGCTAATATACATAATTTGGGCTCTATGAATCAAAGCCCAAATATATTCAACTTAACTTCGGAGTTATTAAAAATGTATACAAACTTGAACTCATTCAAATTTGATAGACTGAACTCCGAGCTTATATCATTTACAGTTTATAGTTTAAAACAAACTTGAGCTCATTCAAATTTGATAGACTGAATTCGAGCTCATCTCATTTACAATTTATAGCTAAAAACAAAAAGTAACCATAAAATTATATCTTTATAGGCTCGACTTGAGCTCAAATTCCATTTATATCTTTATAGGCTCGATTTGAGCTCAAATTCAACTTATTTATTAAATGAATTCAATAAACAGGTTCGGCCTTAGCTTCCATTAAACTTACAAAGCGAGTTCAAATAAGTTAACTTGAGTCTTATTTACAATAATAGAAGACAATAGAAGACGCGAAGTTATGGCATAAGAGCAGAGTTCAAATAAGTTAACTTGGGTCTTATTTACAACAATAGAAGATGCGAAATTATGGTATAAGAAAGAACAGCGTAGTCAACTGCCCGGTAGAGTTAGGCTTTGAAGAGGGCAATTCTCTCTTCCGCCGGTCTAATGCCAATCTTATTTGTGACATGGTGCTACAATATTAAGCTTGGAAATGAAATTGGCTCAATAAATAAATTCACCTTGGAAATGAAATTGGCTCAATACATAAATTCACCTCTTTATTTTTTATGAAAAATCTCATAACACCCTTAATTTTTACTTTAATTCATTAATTTAATTTATAAAATTATACATATTAAGCACTTTAATTAGACCTGTAGCTCAATGTAGAAAATTATATCAATTAAATACTTACTGAATAATTGAAAAATGTAAAAATTATTATTCCTGAAGTTATACTTGCCACATATTAAATTAATATTTTGTACACAAAAGCGAATACCCTAAAATTGTTGCTGTTGGCATTGCAAGGTGTGAGATGATTAAAAAAAAATGAAGTTTAGAACACCACAAAGTCAATTTTAAAGTACAGGAAGCCACTTGTTTTTTTCAAGGGTTTAAATTATATATTCGGCCAAATGGAATTCTTCTTGTTTCAGAACCAAATGTATCCATCCTATATGATAACAATTTTCTTTATAAGATTTGGTACACCATCAAAAGCCAGAAATGCTGCTGCTCATACCTCATTATTTACACCATGTCGGTTTCATATTCTGCAATTGGCAGCTGCACGAGAAAGTAAACATTAAAGTATGGAATGGCATAATTCTTATTAACTGGTTCATGATTATTTCAAATTATACTTACTGCAGTAAACAAATTGGTTGAGATCAAGAGTAACTCTGCCTTGCTTAGCTGTATCAAATGAATTAAAAAGATTCCTGCAACAAACCAGATAATAAATTATAATCTGTCAAACGGATAGCGCTATGTAGGGATCGCAATGGGTTGGATACCTTCGAAAATTGCCTTAACCTACCTAAACTTGTTTAAATATAAGAAATATAAACCTGTCCTAAATCCATTTAAAATTATACTTGCAAGACCCAAATCCATTTAACATTATCTGTATTCGTCCAAAACCTATCTAAATACCCATTTAACATGAATAAGATCCAGACAGTACACAGCGTAATCATAATACTAATAAGAAATACTAATTATACTATTAGATATAATTGTAATACTAAGCATAATTAGAGATGTCATAATTATAATACTATTAAGAATTACTTGTTATAATACCATTAGGTATAATACTAGATATATTTATTAATATAACTAGGCATTATATCTCTTAATATTATAATATTAGGCATAATTATAATACTAAGTATAATTATAATTAGAAAGGCTATAGTTATAATAATATTAGAATAATAGTGATAATTAGAATAGTTAAGTTATAATACTATTATAAATATATATATTACTTTATGAATGTCATGTTATCAATCTAAAAATATTTATATTTCATCATTTACAAATATAATTAATATTGAAAAATTATTATATGTTTTTTATGTGACTTAGCATTAACAAATTTATTAGAATAGCTTAATTGGTAAGTAATTTTAATTTCTTAAAAGGTCATTAAATTTTGAAGCTCTAAATTGGTTAAGCGGGTAGTGGGTGCCCAAGCCCCTAAACACAAACCTGATCCGAACCCATCATGGATAGTAAAAACACTTCACATACCCATTCAAAACCCATTTACCAATACCCAAACCCATAATAAATGGGTCAAGTTGGGTCGGGTACGCCCAAAAAACCCAACCTGATGCCATCCCTAGCATTATGAAACGTTAACCTTCAATTATTAGACTTTGTTTGTAAAAATTGGCAAACTCCAAGTTTGATGTGACACATGAGCCTAAGATTTTCATGTGTGCAATCCTTTGGTTGAATATAGCTTTTAAAGATGAAAGCTGCCGCTCATGAGTCCAATTTCAATGCAATACATGCTGTTTAACATATAAATTTTTGTTACATAATTGTCCACGATAAACTTCAGGCAGCCTATTAAACATAGAGATTGGTGAATGCACTAAGGTGATCAATGAGAACATACCTAGCAGATTGTAAAAAGATACAGAGAGAGATGAAGTCATCTAAACGAAATGTTCCACTCTTCTTTTCATCAAAGCTCTGAACAAAAAAACAAAATTGTTGAGTAATGCAACTATTTAGTAACCAAAAAAAGAGAGTATTCTCTGGACCATCAACAGTAAAGTTAAGAATTCAACATCAGTAACTTATATATTCACAGGAAAGACAACCAGCCAAAAATCTAGTTGGATCTAATAAAAAGACATTCAATAATTTGCATAGAATATAACATCAACCCTGCTCTTTAAAGAATCACAGGGTCCATCCAAATTATTATTGTAAGAAAAATTTATGATCTAAATTGCAACATAGAGAAGAACCCTGACCTCACAAACTGTGTAAAAAGCCGGAGAGTCAAGTGAGAAACCAATTTTCACCAATCCCTGTAATCAAGCTTCAATAGTGAGAACTAGATAAATATTAGAAGTTGGGATGAGTAAAATACAACGGTATCCTTTCACTCAAAAGAAATATGTAAAAGCAAGCACAAGCAAGAAAGATCATACTAAGTAAAAACAAAATAGAATTTGACGATACATTGGAAGTATATTTTGTTGGTAATAATACTCGACATCTAAACTTCATCCATTTAGTTACAACATAGAGAATCTTTCTTTAGAAACTACCTCATACACATCGTCAGTAAGAAGATGCCCACGACCCCTGTAACAAGTCAAAAGTGAGACTATTTAGATATAGCCATAAGTTCATGTCAAATGCATGCTAAGAATAAACAACAATGTAACCATTATATAAAGTATTGGCTCAAACATAGATTTTATAGCATTAAAATAAAGTTGAAATATACTAAAACTTTGAACAATTTATTAACATGTAGGGTCTTCATTGTTGCCAGTGAAACTCCCTGGAGCTAAACATAATACACATTGACTAAAACCAATAAGCAATCACAGAAAAGATTACAGGACCAGATACAATTATAACCTACCTTCAGACTCAGTCACTAACCATAAATGTTTTATTATAATAATAAAAAAAAAAAAAAAAATCATAACCTACCGTTCAGACCTCAGTCACTAGACGGCATAAATGTTTTTGATTATAATAATAAAAAAAAAAAAAAATCAGAGAGACTAACAATTTCTATAGTTTATATTTGTGTCTTCAAAAGGGCTAAAGAAAGAAAAGAATGGTGAAGATAGTATGTAAAGCATCGGTCACAAGATAGGAGATGATAACTAGTTGTCCAGTTGCAACATGATGCTGAATTTACCTCTGCTACATCTGAGAAGGCATGGTTGGGAACCTAAAAAAAAAAAAAAAAAATCAGAGAGACTACAATTTCTATAGTTATATTTGTGTCTTCAAAAGGCAAGAAGAAAAATGGTGAAGATATATGTAAAGCATGCGTACAAGATAGGAGATATAACTAAGTTTCAGTGCAACATGATGCTAATTACCTCTCTACATCTGAGAAGGCATGTTGAACCTGCAAAAATATCGAAAGTATTTAAAAATCAAATATATGTCACAAAAACTTGAAGATTTGCTTCTTCTTCATTTATTATACATCAGAAATGAGCAAGTAATTAGCTTTCACTTTAAAAGAAAGAGATAAATAACAGCAATGACTTTCTGCTCAACAAGGAACTTTGTAATGAAAAAACCAGAAGGTTCAATGCACATGCATAGAGCTTCAGCAACAAGTTAACCGATGCCTAAATACAAGTACAGTAGTGGTATGACAGTGTTTGGAGGAAAGTAGATCAACCAAGAATATTGTTCTTTTTTCAATAAGTTGATCCACTCGAGACAAAAAATTTTCCACATGCTTTTCATCTCCTAACAGCAGCTACCCAAGGTGTTTCTAAAGACTTTCCAAACAGAATAAGAATTAATTAAATGAATCAATAGCTATTACTTGCCCCAAACCCTTTTATGTTTTGCCAAAGGCAGCCAAGCAATAACCTGTAAGATCATAAACTACAATTCCAGCCATTGCATTCAATGGATCATAAGAAAAGGATGCTACCCCTCTCATCCGCATCACTGACGATATAAAAGAAGCTATTCCAGTGTGGTTCCGCTGGATGGACCTGTGCAAATCAGACATTTTCTTTCTTCATTGAATAAACCAAAAGCCCAATAATCTGTCTGCTTCTACATTATAATCTAGATATTCAGATTTAGCTGCAGAAAATTAAATATAGTTCCGTGATTGTAGCTTGGCATCCTAATCTTATGCTCTTTTTTTTTTTTTTTTTCAAATCAGTTCTAGAGTTGGCGATCAGACCCTAGTAGGAGACACTTGCAACCTTGCTAAACAGTCTTGATTAGTTGCCATGATATTAGTGCCTAAGTTAGTTCCTTTCATTTTTTTGTTTTTTTCCACCCAGCAAAAACTCAGATTTGCCTCTTAAGCGTCATTACTGAAGTGTCCCTGGAAAACATGCACTGGACATCCCGACCATGATTTTCACCGCTAATTCACCGGCAAGTAATACCAGCAATAGAGCCACCATACTGCTTTTTACAGTCATCCACATATTGAAAGCGTCAAAGATCAGTGTGGTTGTTCATCAACTTTATCTGTGCCTGTATACTTCCTAAGGAGATGCTGTAACAAATTCCAGGCAATATTTTGCTTCTTTGATTATGGCCTCCAAAATGCTACAGCTCCAAGCCAGAAAATAGCTTTTTTATCCTAGAGAATCCCTTATTCCTCCATTACCGGTTGCTATATTAAATTCAAGCTGCTTCTGTAGGAAACAAATGGATTTTATTTGCAAAATATAAATCCATATAGCATCTTTGCTCATTGTTATTATTGCTAATACCCAGCTGCATTAACTGAAGGAATCATGCCCATACTTCTCTCAATAAAGATGCTCAATTATATAAACAAAAGGTTCTTTGATAATGCTGCTCCTTTCCCAACTCCTGAACAAGTTGACATCAGTCTATACTCTTAATTAGAAAAGAGAATTTCTTCCTAAACAACATTCTCAACCTTTGTCATGTACCTGATCCTAGCTATAGAAAGTCTCCATGAATCATATCAATAACTTCTGCTATGATTTAGTGGATAAGAATCAGCTCATTTGGGAAAAGCAATCTGAGTGGAAGGGGGAGGTTTACAAAGTGGGGAAGTGATCAAAGTGGGGTTGGCTTCGAAAATGAGAGATTCCACAAATCACATACGTCATATTCTTAAACAGTATTAGACAAAGGGATGGTTAAAAGTGAGCAGGTCAAATATAGCCTTAAAGCAAGACGTTTGAAGTGCAATGAGTCTTCACTGATCTTAAATACCACCTAAGTGGAAGGGGGAGGTTTACAAAATTGTCACTCTGTTAGCTCAAACATGTGGCAGCAAGTGTTGGTTGATGAGGAAACATGTATATAAGACTAGCAAGATAGGAATGAAAATACTAATGGAAGTGCTGAAACACGGACCTAATAATTAATGGGCTACATTCATATGAAGATTGAAGTAGCACCTATGGAGGCTGTTTCAATATTGCGTTGTAGACCACCAGATGTGACACTACAGAGGATTAAGCAGACTGACTAGTAAGAAATATGAAAGCAAATGGCAGAATTAAGCCAGGTGAAATGGAAGAAAAGTACCCATATAACCAATCAAGATTTTTCTTCATTAAGATAGATCATCTCTCTGAAAAAGTGAATATATTTATATAATGAACCAAGTATACAGCTAGGATACTAAACCACTAGAAACACAGTAAAGTTGCATCATCACGGAATGAAATTGAGAACTTAAATTTTTTTTCAAGCACTTAGTTAGATGAGCATAAAACTAACACCTCAGATATATATAAACAAATTAATCATTGTTTCATTTTATATAAGTCTAAGAGATTTTGTACTAACATTGGAAAACCCAACATATAACTTTACTATGTTGAGCACATTAATTAACACAGGTTTCAAATATACATAATATCACAAAAAAGAAACCAATGATTGGTGTGAATTATAAATTTCAAATCTCTCTCAATAGGAAAGAGAAGAGTTGATGATAGAAGCACAGACCTTTAGGAGGAACTTATTAAGAGCAACAAATTCTGCATAAAAGATAGATATTAGATCAACCAAGATTTACTTGAAAAAAAAAAAGCACAAATATGGAATATAACTTCAAAAATATAACTTACTGATAAAGAAAATAAAAAATACCTTCAAAGCTCATGGTCCCATTCCTATCAAAATCATACATCCTGCCCAAAAATAACAACAACAATAATAATAATAAAGAATCAATCTTTGAAGCCATACATGCATACATATATCTATTAAACTTAATGAAATCGGAGAAAGAATTGAAGGGATAAAACATAAGAAACCTAATCATTTGTTGGACGATAGAAAGAGGGAATTGGAGGTTACCAACGGCCAGAGCACTCTGATCAATTAAGTTTAGTATTAGAAATTTTAAAATTGAGTAAAAGAAAACAGAAATGATAGAGAGAGAAAAGGAGCAGACCTTGAGCTGAGCTGCAGTGATGTTTCCAGTTTTCTCGGAGTCGACTCGCTCGAACCACTCTCTGAGAATCGCCGTGTTATCCATTTTCGTGCAGCAATTCAGGGAGGTCGTGATTTTGTTTTGGTAAATTACGGAAAATGTCACCTTAGGACAGCCAAATTACACGAACCTGACAGAATTAGAAAAGCAAGAGCTATGCTGTTGAAAACGGAAATTGACTTGTTTATTATGCAGTATTATAATAATAATAATAATCCCTCCATACCGTAATTTTTGTCCTATTTTGATTTGCACATGCATTAAAAAATTTAATTAATATAATTAAACTATAATTTCTGATTATTTTTTTAATATACCTTTATATTAGTATCCATAAAAATTAAACTATTCATATTAAATTGTTATTGAAATTCATGAAACATTTGATTAGATTGAGTTTTATTGAGAGATTAAAGGTTATATGTTAATTTTTGAGATAATTATAAATTTAGTGTCTGAATATTTGAAAATTTTCTATTTTGTATCTGGACGAAAAACGTTTACAATCAAGTGTCTAAATCACATAAATTTTTTCAATTGAGTGTTTCCGGTCTACGTGGCTCACCTGAAGTAGGACGATAATGGCCATGACATGTTAGTAAAATATGTTGATCTATTTATATCTATTTATTTGTCCATCTATCTATATCTATATCTATCTATATAAATACATAAAGGTTGAATCATAAAAGCCTACGTGGCATCATTTTAGAGTATTAAGTTGATCATGTGGCAATATTAACCTATTGAGTTAAAAATAATTTTTATATTTTAAAAAATTATTTTTAATATAATTAATAGGGAATTTAATTAACATTATTAATAATATTTTTCAGTGTTTAAATAATTAATAAAATTAATAATATCATTAATACTTTGAAAATTTTGAAAAAAATTTCACTTTCTTTTTGTAAGCAATTAACAATGTTATTAATATTTATTCTTTTCATTTTCCTTTTTTCACTTTCATATTTTTACAGAATCTGTGTAGACATTTATTTCAATATAAATGAAACTACAAAAAAAAATCACATCATACTTTCAACAAAAGGAAATGGATTATTTACAAATAATATAAGATTATTTTCATGGCATTTTATAGATCTGAGCTTGATCAATGTGGTCATGGCAATGGAATTACAAAGTGTATTCAATTTTGATGATCAACTAAGTTATGATTTTGCGATTTGTAAATTATTTCATAACTATTAGCGTATTTTTGATCCATATAAAAGCATTTTATTTATTGTTATTACAATTAAATGTTTATTTTTGTTCAATATAGTGCCACCTAAATCATAAAATTCACCTTTTCACAATACTTTTTTTAATGAAATTAAAATTCATTTTCTAATGTCATTATGTGTGAAATAGAGAAATATTTTAGTGTATTCAATTTTGGATGATCAACTAAGTTATGATTTATAAGTAGAGATATATAGGTAGAATTTATTTCAGTAACTATTAGCGAATTAAATATATGATCCATATAAAAGCATTTGTAGTTTATTGTTTATTACAGATTAATGAATAATATATTTTTGTTCAAGTGATAGTGCCACCTAAATCATAAAATGTCACTTTGCAACAATACTAATTTTTTTAATGAAATTAAAATTCAATCTTTCTGAGATGTATTAAATGTTAAATAGAGAAAGTATTTTTATGACAAAGTTGACTGGCATATTTTTCTTTTTGTTGAAGGGAAAGTGACGTATTTCTCGACCAATTTCACAATCGTTGTCAAACTTTGAATGAAATTTTTTTAAAAAGTTTTTAATGTTTAGATTGGGATGTAATGCCCAAATTTAAATTCATTTAATTTAGATCATTTTTTTTCTCAGTGATGTATATTAATGACATTTAAGAACCATCATGAGAACTGAATCTAGTAGGCATATTTATTAGTGCTCACCTAAATCATAAAATTCACCTTTTCACAATACTTTTTTTAATGAAATTAAAATTCATTTTCTAATGTCATTATGTGTGAAATAGAGAAATATTTTATGACAAATTGACATGCATATTTTCTTTTGTGAAGGGAAATGACAGTATTTCTCGACCAATTTCACATCTTGTCAAACTTTGATGAAATTTTTTTAAAAGTTTTTAATGTTTATTGGATGTATGCCCAAAATTTAAATTATTTAATTTATCATTTTTTTTCAGTGATTATATTAATGACATCAAAACCAATAATGAAGAACTGAATCTACTAGGCATATTTATAGTCTTTCCTTTTCAATATAAAGGTTTTGTTGTTTAGAATCATCATTGAACTTTCTGTTTTATATTTGCTTTTATTATAGTTTATTTTCTTCCTATCATGTTTTTTTAAATTTTAATTTAAGTTATAAGATTTCAAATATAGAACTTATGTTTTATAACTTGCATTGCATTAAAAATATTACAAATTTAAAAAAGATTTTAATGTCTAATGGCTGAGAGAAAACTCTCTAATGGAGAAAACCCTAACGAGGGCAAAATTGATGAAAACAGGGTGACTAAGAAGGTAAGTCATTGTGATAAAGATGATGGGATCCAGGAGGAGGACTCTGTTCCTCCATCCAGCAATTTTTCCCAATCCTTTAGAGATAAGGTTGTTAAGGGGATGGACTTTGATGAAGAGGAGGATCCCATTGGGGATTCGAACTATGTTTTGACATCGGAGGATATCCACATTGACCGGTCTGGTAATATACCAGAGGTAACTATCTCTGAGAACTTGCAAAAGAACCTAGAACGGAAGTGGTCGAAGGTGGTTATGGTGCACACTATGGGGGAGGAGGATTGGTTATAAGGCCCCATGTTCCAAACTAGACACTCTTTGGATACCTAAGGGACACTAGGTCTTGGACTTGGGTAATGGATACTTTCTGGTTAAGTTTGAACATGAGGAGAATTTTCATAAGGCTATCCTAGATGGACCTTAGACAATGGCAGGTAGCTATTTGGTAGTACAACCATGGAACACCTTTTTTAATATTCATAATTTTTTGTTAAAAGAGGTAGTAGTATGGATTCGTTTGCCTGGACTTCCCCTGCACCTTTACCATAAGAAGGTTCTCCGGGCTATAGGAGACGTGGTTGGACGTGTCGTTAAAGTGGATTACAATATGGAAGACCTCCTTAGAGGTAAATTTGCTCGACTACAAGTGCTTGTTAATATGGAGGCTTCATTGGTGTCTAAATTCCTCATTAATGGGAGGTTGCAACCAGTGGAATATGAAAGCATTCCCGAAATATGTTTTCATTGTGGACGTGCACGAGATAGGGAGAATAGTTACTCTATGAAGCATGGTAGCATTCAAGAAACAGAAAAGGATACTACGCAATCAAACCAACAGCTAAGGTAGGAGGCAGAGAGGGTTCCGATGCTGGAATTTGGCCTATGGATGGTGGTAAGCAGCAAGTCTCGTTGTATTGGAGACTTTTCAGGGGAGGCAAAATGCTTACGGTAAGAATTCTACTAGATTTTGTGTCCTTGTGGATGAAGAGTGTGCTGATTTGGAGGATAATTTACGAGTAAATCATGGAGATTAGGATTGCATGATCAATAGACTTCGGATGCAAGTCAAACTTATAGGATGGCAAAAGGAAAGAATATTATGCAATATCTCCCGATTTAAGTCAGAGAAAAAGTAATAAGACCAAACGTCTCCCGCACCAGCCCAAAGTCGATTCTGGTTCTAATAATGCGTCAAGGCTTAAGAAGGCCACCTTTGGAGAATTTTTTGAATTTCAATAGAGGACCATTAAAGACAAACTTGTGGTTCCATGTATAACTAGCCTTAACCTAGCTTCCAACTCAGTAGTTAGGGTTATAGAGCCCCCTAAAGCCTTAAAGAATTGTAATGTTACCATTGTTGAGTGTATTTCCCATCATGATCTCCAGCTTGAGAACATGGACTTTGCGGGTAGGCCACCAGATATTGTAGGTAGTTTGGCAACGGTGAACCTCCCTACTTCTAGCTTATTTCCTTAAAATATTAATAATTTGCGGAATGAGCTTGTCTAGGGAGAAATTGGTTTAACCAAAGAATCTGAGATGGTGGATGTCAGTGGTTCGGACGAAGATGAGGAGGACAACGATGCCTTATTTGAAAGAGAAACTAAGGATCCTTACCTTATTGATTAGTTAGTTACAGATGGATTCTGTAGTGAAAGGGTTCCTTTTATTTTTTATTATAGTTATATACATAATCTCTTGGAATTGTCGAGGAGCTGCTAGCTCCTCTTTCATGAGGTCCCTAAAAATGCTAGTTAATAAGCATAGAGTAGTTATGCTCATTCTTTTGGACCCTCAGGTTAGTGGTATCAATGCAGACACAGTTATTAAGAAGATTGGTTATTCGAACTCTCATCGGGTTGAACCTACATGATTTGTTGGGGGTATTGGGATTCGTTGGAAGAATGATTGGGAGGTCAATATTCTTGGAAACAACTCTCAGTGGGTTCATATGGGCATTACATCGGGAGGCAAGGTTTTGACAGAGTGCATGCCTATTTATGCAAGTCCTTGTGTTTGCAACCGTAACACTCTATAGGAGGAGCCGACTTCTTTGGTTATGAATATGGTTCATCCTTGAATTCTTCTTGGGGATTTTAATACTTTCCAAAGTAGTGATGAAAGGTTTGAGGGGTCCCAAAATAAGTCATCGATAGGAGATTTGCTACTTGGATGACTGACAGTAATTTTGTTGTTCTTGGTTTTCAGGGCAGTCATTTTACATGGAGATGAGGCAATCTTATAGAGTGCCTAGATAGAGCTATGAGTAACAAGAATTAGTGTCTCCGTTCTCCTGATTTCTCAGTTACCCACCAGGCCAGGGTAGCTTCAGATTATCGTCCCCTTCCAGTTTTCTTTCTCTGATGTAGGGATAGAAACCCACGACCCTCCCCTTTTCACTTTTTGGCAGTATGGATTATCCATGATGATTTTAATAATTTGGTGGGGTCAAAATGAATAAAAATTCTCTTTCTTAGACTGTATCGAGTTTTTCCAAGGATTTAAAATTTTGGAACCATAAGGTCTTTGGAAACATCTTCCATAAAAAATGTAGGCTTCTAGCGAGAATTGAGTAAAGTCAAAATTCCCTTTGAAACAGGTCCCAATGCTTATTTATCAAGCTGGAAGTCTTGCTTAAAAATGAACTAAACATTATTTT